AAATAAATTCTTTGTCGATCAATTTCATCGCATAAAATCTTCCATTCGATTTCTTCTTCACCATGTACACTCTTGAGAACCCTCCAACTCCTATGCATTTTACAAATATGAAATCTTTCAATGAGACCTTTGCAGTTTGTGGAGTGCCAAAAAATGGCTACAAGTTTAGGGTTTAACCACTAAAAATCTCCAGAGGTTTATTAGGTTATTGTAGGTAATAATCAACAGGCAAATTTTTATCAACTGTGTGGAACGAGACGATCTCAGGATTTGTTGATTCATTACCAGTGCCACAAGTTATTTTAACATGATCTGGTTGGGAACCTGTAGAGGAGGATTGATGGATTGAATGTTTCTTAATTTCTTATTTCAAGTATTCGTCCAACCAACCTGTGGTCTTGGAAGGATCAATGGGAAATTTTATTTATTAATTTTCGTAATGTACTATTATAATAATCTGATTAGCTAGATTAATAAAACCTTTAGTTGTTTGTGCATTAGAATTTTGATATTAATTTGAATTTGTTCTTCTGGTGTCTGTTGTTATATTACTTTTTAGGTTATTTGAAGTATCAGAAGTATTCACTTTTTAAACTGATTTCTGAACTGGTAGTTATTTATGACTTATCATCAATTTCAATAATTCTTGCTAATATTGTTTGGCCTATACAGGAAGTCCTTATTTTTTCACCACTTTCAAATCAATTCCCTATAAACCTGTGCTCTGATTTGCCTTATGAGTGGGACTCAAACTTTGGGCGATCAATCCGCAGGGATTGAAAGATTGACTGAGTTTATTGCTTTTATTAGTGCACCTAAATATCTAGAAGATGATACGTTTTGAAATTATTCTATTGCACTATCTCTTGTAATTATAATTGGGGACGAGACAGGTGCTGCATTAATTTGTTATATGTATTATTCGAATTTTAAATAAACTATATATTAAAATATATATAAACACACTATCAATGAAAATTATAACCATTTTTCATTGGTCCAATTACTTTGAATTTTAGATTAATAATGGAGGGTTCTTTTTATAGGTTTAAGGATGCTTGCACTATTTCGACCCTTTCTAAAATAAGAGAATTTCTAGAAGATGAAAAGGCTTCCAAAATCTTTGGTAACTATTTCAATTCTAGGACCAATTATTCGGATTAAATTGAATTCAATTGGTGAAACAAATTAATTAAAAAGCCAAGAGCTATTGAAATTAATTCGTCATAATTAGGGTCTAAGTTAATTTGAAGTTACTTTAACAATCGGAAATATTGGATATAGAATTCTTTATTAAAGGTTTAATCCAAGAATTTCTTTCTAAATTGATCTTCAATCAACAAATTTGATAGTAGGTTCAATATCTGCACATACATGTCGCATGACCATATGGAGAGTTCTACATTTTGATAAATCTGAGAAATCTAATCGATTATTTGATCCAAATGATTTAAAAAGATTTAACGAAGAAAACTACTCTAATCATAACAGAGGTTTGCACACAGACTCAAAAATGATGAAACCAATTCAGGTTCTGTTTCGGACAAACTTAAAATTCTGACAAATATCTCAGGATAGAGAGTTGTGATGATGTGAGGACTAGATTAAATGAGAATTCGAGTTTTCTCCTCATTCATTATATTTATTGCTTCAATGTAATCTCGAATACAATCAAATATGGCTGATCTCTTCTTTTATTTGGCTTTGTTGAGCAATTTAATAATCTTTTAAATTATAATGTCAACACCATTATATTGTTAAATGAATTATTCTTGATATAATTAATTTTATTCTTAATAAGATTACAAAATCAAAGCCGGCAAACTAGCCATAAACTAATTTTTTAAGAAAATATACGTTGAATTGATCATGAAGAAATTCTTCATCCGCCTTAATAATTTAAATCAATGTTTCAATCCCTCTTTTATCATAAAAATAAGCAGCCGACTCATCTGTGTACTCCATCATCACCTTTAAAACCTAATACAAATCATAATTCTAATTTTGGATAAGAAAAGCATCAATCACATCCTTATAATTTAAATTATTTTATTAAAACTTACATTTCATAGACGATTACACACTTTCACTACTTCTCCCAGAATTAGCAACCTGAATTCCCAAACTGTTCTCCCTTTGACTAATTTATTATGCCTCTAAAGTCCGTGTCTCGAGACTAACTTCAGTTGTTTCATCTTAGTATTCTTTGGAATCTGTTTTATTTTGTTAATCCATAAACTCAATATTGAGATAGTGATTGACATCAGATTTCAACTTTTGAGCTTCCTTATCGTTAGGATCAATCTGTAAGGCTTACTCAACATCCTGCAAGGCCTTTTACAGTTGCCCAGTTTTATAATATGCGAGAGCTCTTCTTAAATGGGCTTTGAAGAAACTATCGATACTTTGAGTAAATCTTTCTTCTTTATTCTGGGCTATCTCTAGGAATTTAGTGCAATCCAATATAGCTTGTTGGAATTTGTAAATTTTAATGTATGCAATAGCTCTATTTAGCAATAAGACAGCACTGTCTTAGACCAATTCAAGTGCTTCAGTATAATGAGAAATAGCTTCTTCAAAGTTTTTGTCCGAATAATAATAATTACCCTTTTTCTTAAGCTCCTCAGCCAATTAAATTCTTTGTTGCATTTCTGCACTTCCAAATGCTGCATTAGTTTTCTCATCGTTTCTTTGAAAATAGAGTTTGTCCTTCTCATTGGAATATATTTTAGTTTGTTGTTGATGCTTGCTCTGTTTGGGTGTTGGGGAATTCTCGAGTTCAAAAACTAGACTTTATTTTGAGTATTTATCTTAATCTTCAATTTATTTTGGATTTTTGGGTTTTTCTGCAACTCTGTCAGATTAGTTATTTGAATCATCAAGGGCTTGCAAATCGAAATGGAGTTATAATTCTCTTGAATTCATAGTAAATATTAATTTTTATAATATTTAAATAATTTAATGCTAGAATATAATACAGCATTGGGACTGACCAGAAGTTGATTGATAATTTAAGTGAAAATAGGATGTGACTAATTATCATTCATTTCCAATTTAATAATTTAATAAATTCCTCAAGAGTAATTTGACCATCTCCATCGCTATCAACTTCATGGATCATGTCTTCCACATCTTGATCAGAGAGTTTTTCACCCATGTTAATGAGGACATGCTTTAATTCTTAAGCTGATAGCAATCCGTCTCCGTCTCGATCAAATATCTTGAAAGCAGTGATGTACTCTTCTTCTAGATCAGTGTCTCTTAGTTTATTTGCCATCAAAGCCAAAAACTCGTTAAAATCAATCATTCCATTTCCATCAAAATCTACTTCCTTTATCATTTCCTTCAAATCCTACTGACTTGGATTTTAACCCAAAGATCTCATGACCATACCCAATTCTTTGATAGTAATGGTTCCATCTCCATCTTTGTCAAAAAGTGCAAAAGCTTCTTTAAATTCTTATAAATCATATAAATGAGTCATGCTTTTATAAAAAAATAATATTAATGTTAAGAAGTGTTATAAAAATAGATAAATGATTATCTTATTATACTTATTGTATTATATTTCAAATGATTTCTACAAATGCTTTTGGATGTTAAAAGACTGTAGATGTTGGTTTGACAACTTCAGCCCCTCTTGGCAATACTGGTTGTCTTTTAGTTGAGATGTGTTATTTCAATTTATTAGCCTCAGTCTTTTTCTTATCGTTCACTTGGACTCTCTTAACAAATTCCTCTCTGCATTTTGATGGTCTCAAATGATCAGCTCTAACATGGAATCTTTTCTCCACATATCTTCCTCTCACTCTTCTTTATAAAGAGACACCAATTCCTCTTGGATTAACATTGAACACTCTGGCTGTTCGTCCATGATAATACTAAAAGGGCACTCCCTTGTGTTATGCTCCGTCAACCAAAATATCAACGAAATCACCTATGAAAATAATATGTAATTCATACCTCTTCTGAATGTTTGGAGTGTTTTACGAATACTTATATTGCCATGTCCTCTGAATGGTTTTGCAAACTTGCTTCTTGTTCCCTTCTTCAATCCATAACTATGAGTCATTTATTCAAGATATTAATTTTTTTTAAAATTATTTACTCAAATACTCCAATATAATAGCATTCAGAGGATGCCTCTCATAAATGAAAGATATTCGGATTTTATAATGTATGTTTGTATTAGATATATCATTAAGCTGCAACTGGAGCTTATGGTTTGGGGGCATCCTTTTTTTGTGTTGATTATTAAACAGGTCGTTTTCTTTCAATCACACGAATTTTTCTGTCCTCAGATGATCTCACTCTCACAATACGTGCATGGATGGCACAAGAAACGCAATACTACCTTTAATTATTAACACTACTTGAAGTTTGTCAAATAATTTAGGAATTGACTATTATTATTTGGTTTCATAAGCAGAAGCTTCCAAAATGTCTTTCTTTGATGATGCATCAACAATGTCTCTCACTGTGAATCTTTTGATGGCCTTATCTTTGCCAACTAATCTACAACAATTTGAACAAGTAACTGGCTTGACGTGACCTCTATTTTTCTTTGAACGACCATTATTTCTTCTCTTTGATGGCATTTCTTAAGGAATTATTTCTTTTTTTAATAATTTATTTAAAAGGATTTAATTTTTTTTTCATTTTATTCAATTTCACTAATATCACAACCATCTCATAATTCACTCAGTAAATCATTGATCCCCTCTATCAAACTTCACTAAACACTCCTGTATTTTGTCTATTCTTCTCAGCACTCCCTCCTTTAAATCCAAAATATTGCTAAAATATAATATTAAGTACTCTCTCCATCATCAAATTCTCAAAATCTAATAACTATATTATATTAATTAATTAATCTCATAAAGAGCTGTTTATTAGATTTATTAGACTTGAAAAATAGAAATTATTAATGAATTTTTCTCTTCTATAATCCAATTATGATTTTAAGTAAAATATCTGAGTCCATAAGGAAAGAAATGATGATCATTATTTGTGTAATTTCATATTTATTGACCTAATGTCTTCCCTCATAAGGAAAGCAACGATTAGAGAGTAACTTATTGATTTTCCAAAATCATTTGAAATAATTCTTTTAATCATGGATCTTTTTAATAATTCTATGATAATAGAATCAATTCAATAATAGTTGTCAATTTTATTATTAATAATTTAATTATTTACAATATAAAAATCAAATTAATTACTCATCACTCTTTACTTTTGAATTCTTTTTCCCAAATGACCAGATAGCTTTTATGTCAATTACTTAACTATACAATAATGTTGTGCAAAATTACTTATAATTTTTGTAGAAGATGCATGCAATTATGACTAAATGGATTTCAAAGAAAAGATACGTGAACACAAACAAGACGTATGCAAACAAGGATTTAGTGTATCCCTCATAAAATAGTTGTATATATCTAAATTTGATAAATTAATTAATTTACTTAACACACTGATTGGTTAGCCAGAAGAATACATAGATAATCGAAAAATCTGCCACTTTCTTTATGATGTCTAGTTCAACGCTACTTATTTGTTCTTCAAAAATGAGGGTTTTGATTCGAGAACTAATCTATTGAATTTTTAATTAGATACTTTCTTTCTTAAAATTAAAACACTTAGGAATATCAACCATAAGGGTATGGACCAAAAGATCAGGAAAATGATTTCATCCTCCTAGACATAAGAGATTTGGAAGTACTTCGAAACCGCAAAATAGATAGAACAACTCTGTTGAGTTATAGAGTTTCCATCCTGTGGGGCCTATGGAATCGTTTAGCAATGGGTAGAGGAGCCATAAGTAGGGCCAGATGGTGCAAAGAATCATGAATTTGTTTATGTTATTAGTCACAGCCTAATATTTGGAATTAATCTATTTTATATTATAATTAGTACGTGAAGGGCAGAATGATACAAATAAAATAACAGCAACAAACAAGAGAATGATGTGAGCCAACAGCAGTGCATGATATATCCGATATAGTGGCATAAAGTTTCATAGCATTTACTCTGAAATGATAAAGAGATGGCTCCGATCAAATCGATTGATTCAGCGAATGATTATAGAATTAGCAATTTGAATACCCAATATTTCTACTTGTTGCTTTTTAAGCAGGTGATCCCAACAAACAAGGTTGATATCAAAGCACAAGAGAGGATGATCATTCTAACAGTAAACTATACTATTTTTTGGGTGGAATCAAGTTGGCATATATTCATAATTTATAATATTTATAACCTAAAACATATATTATAATCAGTAATCATTAATAGGAAATAGCACATTCAACATATTTCTAAGTTCATTCTAATCCAAAGGCTTTGTTAAGTAATAATCCATGCCTGCCTCGTAACTCTTAAGTTTTGTGTCCAGATCACAGAACCCAGTATTAGCAATACACCAAGCCTTGTTGATTATTTGTTATTTCATTAAGTGCTTGAGTTCTTTGACAGTTTTGTAACCGTCTAAAATTGGCATGTTGATGTCCAGGAATATCAGACTATAATATTGGTTCCCACATTTCTTGCAGGGATGCTGCTTCTTTTGATTTACAAGTTACAATGCTTCCCTACCATTATAAGCCGAGTCGCACTTCGATTAATACTTGGTCATCAGTAATTTCAGACATTGGATATTGAAGTACTCGTCGTCGACAATTAATACTCTAGAACAACAGTCACTGTTAAGACTGCATTGTACAATAGATTATTAAAATTTTGGGCTTAAGATAGGAGGATGAATCGATGAAAAGCTATCCTCTTCACTTTGGTTCTTGCTCTCTTGCTAGCCATAAATTCTTTTAGTGGATGGAAGAATAAATTACTGTTGAGAATTAGAGTGAGTTTGAATCAAGGTCTTTTGGATTTGGATTTTTTGAATAGATTGTCCTTTTACTTAATCTTCGAAGTAGGTATTGGCAGATATAAATCGAATTGTCTAACTGCTTTTTTTGACGAATCCCGAAGACTACTTCCGCATACTTTCCTTTGACATCTCCAATTAATGGTTTTTTATAAAGAAACTGAATTAACAACCCCTATCCTTTCGATTAAGTTAAATGGAATTGTTCTTTCCACTCATTTACTTTACTAACTAGTTTGATATTCCTAGACCTAGGCCTACGCCCACAGATTGTTCTGACACTTTCACAAATTTGTTGGAATTCAACAAAGAATTCATATTCTCTGCCTCCTACTCAGTCTATATAATATTATTATAGACAATACCATCCCAATCCCATCATCTGAAATCGATATAAAGCATTCCAAATTATCATTCTGTATAGTTATAGTGATTGCAGATTCAAAAGTATACTTTATGGCATTCTACAACAATTGAAATAACACTTATCTAAACCTCACTTTGTCATTTATCAACACAGTTGACTATAGATCAAAACTATATTGAATTTTTATGTTCTTATTTTCAATACTTTCATTGAATAATGAAACGATGAATCTAATCTCCAATTCGATATCAACTTCTTCCAATTTCAAACTAAATTACTTCAAATTTATCAAATTGTAATCTCTAATTGTCCCAACAATTAGATTCAATTACTCACTGTTTGTTCTAATTGGTTCCAAGTATTTCGATTTAAAATGACAATTGACATCCTCATCCTTTAATGCCATTTTGATAAATGTTATTATGCTATTTAAATTAGTACCCAACTCATGTGACAATGATCTACACATGTCTATCTCCATTGATTCATCTATTTCCAAACTATCATTCGTTTTCAGAGGCAATGAGAAGAATTGGAGTTAAAAACATTTAATGCCATCCACTACAATACACTGTATCAACATAGCCTGATTTTCATATTTCATATACTCATTCTTGTCTATCGTCAAGAGATGCTGTTCATCAATTTACATCTCCAATACAATTATTCTAAGTTCTCTTTATTTTAGTGTGGAGTCTTCAATATAATTAAATTTTAAATTTAAAAGTATTTCAAATGCTTAATTATATTAATTTGGATGAGTTATCAATTCTGTAAAATTAATTTGAGTTTCTATGAGTTCATATTAATCATTAAATAATAAAGAATTTTATGGTAAATTTATTCTTTTCGTTGATATAGTATGAATAAGATTCTATTGTTACTTCATAGTATCAACCTAAATATCGATGGTACATTAATGCTAATTCTTACTTTGACGAGCTTCAATCCTATCTTTTGGTTGTAAGCTCCTTTCTCTATACAACCATAAACTAAAAATCACTAATTACACTATAATTATAATTATCTACTCATAATCAAGCACAACCTATTTGAAGTTGAATATAAACAGAGCCATTTGTGCTAAGATTAGAATTGGTTATTAGAGCTTCTATTTTAAGTCTGTATTATTAAATAATATTTGAGTTTATATTAATGAGCAAAGTATGTATTCTTATTTTGCTTAATAAGCTAGCCAGATGCAGAGAATCTTCATTGAGAAACCAATTATCTAAAAAATTTAATTTCTCTGTTCATTTTTGAGCAAAACACATAATACTTCAAAAACTATGCTACTAGCATAAAGTACAGTGATTAAAGATATAAATAAAATTGAACTGTCTAATAATTACTAAAATATAAACCTTGATTTATAAGTACTAAATAAGCTAGTTGGCAGATGTCACTAATAAGAAGATGTTGTTTTCCAATCAACATTTTATTTCAATATTATATTATTTCATTAAATTTTATCATCAAATGGAGAAAGAGAAATACTGAATAATTTTATTTTATATATAAAGCAACAAATTTTTATATTTTTTGCCTTTTCTCTAAATTTTCTAGAATCTTTAATAATTCCTATAGAAAAAAATTGGATTGTTTGTATAAATCACTCACCAATATTTATAGAAAACATAATGGTGATATTTTTTGAGTCATGTTCTATTTTTAGATTATAAATTCCTTTGAAAAATGCCCATTTTTAAGGCATATTTTTTAAAACAATTTTTAAATTGACTTTCCCAATTATTTATAAATTTATTCATATCAAAATTAACTAATTGTAGTATAATGGTCCAAAAAATTAATGCATCCCAAAATCCAATTCATCTTCATAATAAATTGAGTAATTTCCTCGCAATTTCCTAATAAAGTTTATTAATAATAATCTAATCTAAACTATATATATTATTTAATAGTGATAAAATTATGATTATAGGGAGCTAATTAATTTATCATAATAATTATTTAATCTTTTTAAAAATGAATAATAAAAGGGTACTCTGTTCAGCTAACAATAATGGTCACTCTTTCTAAAGGATTCAGAAAGCTCCGCCTTTTTAATGATTGTCATTAATCAAATAAATGAAGTCTCTTAAAATTGAATCAATCAATTAAAAGAACTAAAAATGATAATATTAAATTTAATAAATAATGGTTTATCAGTGGACAAACTTCGTCTGGGAAACCAATGCCTGGTGGTTGAGAAGAATTAGACCTGTATTTTTAACATTTCTATCATCAAGTTTGTTGTCTTGGGAGCCTTCGCATTCACAGCATTCTACGGAGGTAGATATTACTTTTTCGGCAAATGGGCATATTATAAATAAAGACAATTCACAGAGGCTGAATTAGTTGCTTAAGCAGAAGTCAATAAAAGGTTATGTTCATACATAAATTCTTTAGGAATTGGGGTTACGGTGTTTGGTACAAACCAACACTTGAAAGAAGCAGAAAGAAATTATTATAAGATGCACTAAAAGGTATAGCAAAATTGAATAATTTAGATAAATATAGATATGCAATGACTTGGGAAGAATTATTCTACGAAGATCCAAGACCAGTGGAGGAAATTCTTGAAGAAGAAAACTCATGGGAAGAATATGAAATTTGATAAGATTTAATATTCTATAAAATAAACATATCCAAGTATCTATAGCTTTTGTATTTGATTATCTATGATATCATAGGAATTGGCAACATATCATTAATGTCCATTTTGCTAATTTTATAATTTATTTATTTATTAAATTTATTTTAGCATTTTATATAAATTTATTTTACTATTGAGAAGACTAAGGTATTAGAAATCCATTTTTCAAGATAATAAACTTATAATTATGAATTCTATTAATTAAGTTAATTAGATTAACTATATTTATGATCCACATCAAAAATAGAATAATTCAATTACAATATGATTTCTGTAAATAATATAATTATTATAATATATTATTATCATTGTTGTTGATTCACTAATTATTGTCCTGCATAAGACATAAAAGTTGGGTTATTTCTAGTTTTGCTGCCACCAATTCGTCCATTTTTCATGTCATAAATATATTACTGTAATTCATGAGGTCTAAAACGATTGATGACTAATTTTTTATCATTTTCTTCTATCTCTTTGGATAGCGAATCTCTCATGTTTTAGTTAATTTCTCCATCAAAGCCTTAAGACTTTTACATTTTAGGAGCTTATAGGAGAGAGCCTATAATTTCACTCTTGGATGCGGGAGGAGGAGTGAATCCCTTTCTATAGCTTCCGTCTTTGTTACTTTCCTATTATTATCTTAATTCTCTAGCATATTGTTATTTTTTGTTTAATGATTATTGCCTTTACTCTTAAATAAATTGATAGTCTTGATCCTACTACATTTTGAGATTATGTTGTTCTCTAATTTTATCATTTTATGATTGCTGTAATTTTTGTAGACTTTCTAACCTTTGTTACTCCCACTATTTTTGTATCAACAATTATTACTATTTCTGTCTATCATCCTCAATCTAGTACTGATAAATTTGTGGTTATTAAGAGGGTTGTTTTTATTCAGATTGGTTGGTAGGTTGAGTATTTTGAGGCTGGACTACTAGATTTGGTTATGATTGTGAATTTTGTAGTTGAATTTATTGTTGCAGTTGTTAACGTTGTGCAATTAAATTAGGGTCTTCATAGGCATATAATTATTATTGTTAGTATTGAGACTCATGAAATTGTTGATTAGGTTGAAAATTGGTAGAATCAGGATATTGGATGGTTTCGAGATGTTTCTCACTTAAATCATCTGCTTTCCTCTTAGAATCCTCATAATTTGTGTATATTGCACTTCTATTTTTATATGGATCATTATCTTCCCATTTCTTCCTTGGCTAATAAGCTTAAGAATCCAGATCACTTGGCTTACTGCTTTACTCCCACAAGGATTTTTGCTTCTCTTGTTTGTAAACTTATGCCAATTCCATGTTTTTTACAACCTTGCTACGTAGAGTATTTGTAACTGCTCCATCAATGTCCTTTGTATTTAATGATCTATCATAGTCTTGAGCTAATCTACGAGGATTTCAAAAACATTTTACCTTTTGGGTGGGTCAAAGAGATGTTGCATTCCTTAGTAAGATTCCAGTTCTCCTCTCTGAAAATCTGGATAATGTCTTTTACCAGATGTTGAAAAAAAGGCAATCCCTTAAGGAACAACTTATTCGTTAACTTTGTACCCTTACTAATAGCCTTGTCCCGAGATGGCTTGATTATTTTATATCTTTCTCATGCAATAAATTATTATTAGAATTAAAAATAAAAATCAATCTAATTCAACAGATATTACTATGTCAGTACTATTTGTATAAGTAGAGGCTTGCATCTAGCTAAATTTGAACGTGTCCTTCAGAATAGAGCTTGACAAATACTATTCGGCTATGTTCTTTGAATATTTGATATTGATCTATGGAATTATTATATATGGATTTACTTGTTCCGATTGAGTGTTCCCTTGAATGGTCTTAACTTGAAATGGAAAGATTTGGGATTGGATGTAAAATTGGCCATCGTATTCGATCAGTACCTTAAATGATAATATGAAGCATAAACATTTAAATCGAAAATGGAGAATTGCAATTTATTCAATCGACCACCCAGAATGTCTCGCTAGGAATTATCATTTACAATAAATTTGAGATCTTTGTAAATGAAATTCCTATTCGTATATTCTGCCCTGACTAGGAACTCCAATGGTACTCCATGAGTTGGCAAGCGAATCAATTTATTTTGGTAATCATTTAATGTGGTTCCCAAATAGAGTTTGAGTACTCCATTGATGTCTATGGGATGTTTGAGATTGGCAAATTGCAAACAGATGTGATTTTCAGTTGAGAAGGCCAACAAGAGATCCCCATCAGATCCTAGTGCTTATTTTGCAGAATCTAAGAGGAATTGGAACTCCTTTCTTCATTTCAATGCATAATTACTTAAATCCATGCTCGAATCCAATCATATACCAATTGTCATCATCCAATTAATAATACACGGAGGCTTAGCATATTTAACAAACATCTTCCCCATCGCATTCTTGAATGTAATCATCCACATCCATTGCATTAGAGATTATGTTTAATTGCTATTTTAAACTTTCAATAATCTTAGATTCTTCTGGTTACAATTCCAATTTATCAAGACGATCCAATTAACCCATCAAATCAAAAGGTCTTTGTCTCAAACTATCATCAAATACATTTTATCTTTATACTAAGAGAGCTAATTGATTCACCTATTGTATAATCCCTTCCAAGATGATGCGTTAATCATTCAAATCTGCCGAAACCTACACAAATCCAATCTCTTTGTTCTTGTGTTTATGATGCTTCCCATTTCCTTTTATCTATTGTCCCACAACTACTAAAACAAAACACAAAGCCAACAAATATTGCATTTAATACGTTTTTATATATATATTAAATAATAATGTTCTTGAAAAAACACACTACATTCCTTAAGCAAATTTCAATGCTGCAGAGAGAAGAGAATCTAATATAATTACTAGCTTATTACTGCAAATTAAGTTGAATAATTTGGTAAATAACACATAATAAGTTAGAACGAAGAAATCTATTAGAATAGCTTATTTGAGCTTAATAAATATTGTGAATAATTTAGCTTGTGTTTAGAGAGGAGATTATTGAAATTATAAGATAAATTATTTATAATGTAAACACTTCTTAATTTTATTCTAGTATTTGAGGCCTTGAGTTAATTTAAGAATTATCCCTGCTTTAGGGAAAATATCACCTCATAGTACGATTGCGAACATTACTATGTAGGATAGAGTTATTGGAATTCAACTGCTTGTTTGATGAATGAAACAACAATCAATCCAAACACCACTGAGACAAATAAGGATCCAACCTATTGTAATTTAATTTCAAAGACCGAATGTGCTGATGATTTTAATTGTGCTTTAATTAATGATAATTGTTTGCATTTCACAGGATGCAGTGCTTTCTTGAAAGAAAAATAGGAGGAATGCTAATCAATTTCAAAGAGATGCATTACAAATGGCAAGTAATGCGTTGAGATTGGATTATGCGAAGAATATCTGACTGAATAAGCATGTCAATACGATGAAGATGGAGACTACTGTTATTGGGATTCATCAATTCAGAAATGCGAAACTGCTGATACCTGTGAATAATACCCCAAATTCTTGAATACCGATTAATTATGTCGAGACGAATAAAAAACATGCACAGTGGCATAATCTGGGAAAGGCTGTGTCGAAAGCAATTCGAAATGTTCTGATCAATTATTCCAGAATCAATGCTTTTGGAATCGAGATTAAACATAAGAATGTTTTTGGAATGGAACCGCCTGTGTGGATAAGATATGTTAGAATGCATTCAGTTCACTAATAACAGATGAGTAATGCACAAAGTATCTTAAAAAATGTACTACCAAATTGAATGGAGGATGCGTAGATAGAACTACTTGTGATGCAGCTACAATAAAGGATGCATGTAAGACAAATGCAAAGGGTGAGTTATGCTATTGGGATGGTACGAAATGTCTGGATAAAATTTGCTCAAATGCTCCCTCTACTTACAAAACAAACAGTGAATGCGAATCATATTTGGAACACTGTATTACAAATGGAAATGGTTGTGTTAATAATGTAACCTGTGATTCTGCAAAACTTGAAGATGCTTGTGAAAGTGATTTATCGAATAATTAATGTGCCTGGGTCAATAATCTGTGTGTAATTGCTTAATGTTCATTGGCTCCTACTACTTTAACCACTAATTTAGATTGCTCAAGGTTTCTGACAGGTTGTGTAACTAAAAAAGAAGGAGGATGCATGAAAATCAGTTAATGTTCAGATTACGACATTGAAGAAGCATGTTTAATTGATTTAAATGGAGATGAGTGTTTTTGGAATGATAATGACGTATGTGTTGATAAAACATGTGAAAATGCCCCATTGACATTGGAATAGCATGAGGATTGCTAATTGTATAGTGAGAATTGCACTCTTAATCCAAAAACAAATTTAGGATGTGTTGATATGATTTGTGAGAATATCACAACATAATAATTATGTGTCACAGATTTAAATGATAATAAATGTTTCTATGAAGAAAAATGTTCAAGTAAAGAGTGCACTTTAGCTACTTTGACTACTGCACTAGAATGCAACAAATACCTAAGTGAATGTACATTAAATGATGCAGGAAATGGATGTACTCTCCTTCCTTTGACTTGTCGTGGGAATAGCAAGAAGGAGAATTGCTATTTCAGATTAGATGGATTGTGTGGATGGAATAGTCAGAGCAATGTTTGTATTGATAGGGAATGTTTCACAGCAGATGCAACTTATAATACGAATGAATAGTGTGATACATATCTAAAAGGATGTGTAGTCAGCAATACTACAGGTTGTATGGTATTACCCAAATTATGTGAGGATAGAAAGAAAGAGTTAAATTGTCATTTTGATGATGATGATTGTGTTTGGGGATCGGAATTGTGTCAGTCACGATCGTGTTATACTGCCCAATTTGAATTGGATTCTATAGACATGACTGAATGCAAATAATACATTGAATGTTCTCAAGATGAAACCTAATGTTGTATTTTGAACAATTAGGGTAATAATTGTCAAGAGAAGAGCACTTGTGATGTGTTAGATTAATTAAATTGTGTGTCTGATGCGGCAATAGATGGCACATGTGTTTGGAATGGAGTTTAATGCATTAATGCTAATAGTCTACTATGCACTGATTACATTGGACAAAATCACAAGGAATGCCATGATCTTAAAAATACATGTACTGTAAATGCTAATCAAAATGGCTGTATAGACCTGAAGGAATGCGAGGATTATGATAACTAATCATAGTGTGTATTAAATCTGAGATAGTAATTTTGTTCATGGGATACTGCAACTAGTACTTGTTCATCCTACAGTTGTTCTGATGCTCCAGATTCTTTTTCATATTCGACTGATGAATAATGTAGAGTTTTCTAGAGTGATTGCACTGTTCATTCACATATTGGGAAATGCGTTGATAAATTTAGTACATGTGGAGAATATTTGAAGAAGGAGAGTTGTTACAAGACTATCACTTCCACTAAGAATAATTGCTATTGGTATAACAATTAATGCAGGAAAACAGAAACCTGTGCTGATCTTACTTTTCTTTAAACCTTTACCACTGCTAATTGTGAATAAATTCTCTATGACTGTAAGGTTAATGTTACAAATGATGGTTGTGTTTCTAAAGTCTGTACTGACTATAATTATACTACTCTTGAATAATGCTTAAGTCTAAGCTCATGTTCAATTAATAAAAGTAAAACTTAATGCATTCCTATTAAGCAATATTGTAATGAATACACAGATTAAAGTTAATGTTATTATTCTAAAGATGAAGGATTGTGCATGTCTTATAATGATGCTTGTAAAACAAAAAATCATCCATGCGAAGAGATGACAGGAGATGAAATAACTTGTCCAACATATAGAAGAGCTTGCATAAAAATGCCATTAAGTTCAAGTTGCAAGAGAAATATTTGCTAATCAGAATAATTTCCTAGCACAAGTTTAGCTTAATGCTAAGATTTTGATAGCGGCTGCACTGCATAAATTGATTTAGAATAATGCACAGATATTAAAGATAGTTGCTCAGATTATTACACAGATCTTAATCTTTGTTATTATTCAAAAAGGGTTATTGTTTAATTGTGAAGAATATTGATAAAGATACATGTTCTGATTTATAAGATATTAAAGCTTGCAATAAAATAATATTTAAGTATGATGCAACTTGCGAGAGTTTAAATAAGTCATGCGCAGACAACCCAGATAAATAAACTGGCAGTCAATGCGTTGATAAGACATGTAGCAATGCTATTAAGTCTGAATACAACCATTAAATCTGTTAGGAATGGATGGCAGATTGCACTTCAAACTATGACGGAACAAAGTGTATCATTATGTAAGATAATTGTTCAAATTACACAGGTTCAGAATGTGGGGAATCATCTAAATCAGAAAAATGTAAAATGGTAGATAATATATGTGTTCCTGGGAAATGTGATTAAACGCCTTCCACATACTTGGATAATTAAGTGTGTGAATCTTATTTAAGCACCTGCACAGTTGGTAGAATAGGAGGTTGTGAGTAAAGATAACAAACTTGCAATCTGTATTAACTTAAGAAATAATGCTATTTTGATATCAATAATAATAGATGTTTTTGGAATCCTACATTATTGAATTGCGTATAACTGAAATGTTCAAATATTGAAAAAACATCATAATATTCCACTACTTAGTAATGCAAATCAATTTAGTACATTGATTGCATACTTGATAATTCAGGGATGGGTTGTTAGGACAATCAATATTAGTGTGAATCAATCACATCACAGTAATTATGTACCAAAGATGTTAAAGGATAACAATGCCAATGGAATGGTGATAAGTGCTATACTCAAACATGTACAACTGCTCCTATTACTTTAAAAACCCTTTAAGAGTGTTTAGCCTATTACACAAAGGTTAAATGCACAACTAAAAGTGGTGGCGGTTGTACATTTCAGTTAGATTATTGTGAAAATTACACTGATTAAGGATCATGCATTATCAGCAAGAAAGGAGTGGAATGTGGATACGATGAAAAAGAGAAGAAATGTAAAGTCAAGAGTTGTTCAATAGCACCTTTGTCATATACAACACACTAGTAATGTAATGATTACCTGGACACTTGTACAGTACAAACTACAGGATCTGGGTGCTAAACAATTCCAGATACTTGTGAGGAAATGACTATGATACAATGTGAGGTTAGTGATTGTTATTATGATAATGATCAAAGTAAATGTATTACAAAAACATGTTAAAATAAACCTGATAGTATTAGTAGTTGTTCTGAGTATTTGAGTTAATGTTATCAAGATACTATAAAATGTAAATCAGCAATTTGTGAATACTATTATTATGCAACCGATGAAGAATGCAGAAATATTATGCCCCATTGCACCAGCGATGGAACTCAATGTATCCCTAGAAGAAAATGCACATAAGCATTTTATGAAGCTAGTTGTGTCTCTTAGCCAGATGGACAATTATGTTAATGGACCTCAAGTAAATAATGTTCAGTAAGATCATGTAGTGTTGCCCCAAAAACATTAACCACTCATTCTCAATGCTAATCTTATCTAAAAAATTGTACAACTCAAAAGAATGGCGGATGTATTAATTTGATGCAATGTATCGAATATAGCATTAATGAATAATGTCAAATTGATACTTTATTAAAACCATGTGTTTGGGATACAACTAAAAATTGGTGTAGAAATCAAGAATGTCAGGACTAGTTTGGCAATAATCATAAATCTTGTTAAGCTTTCTCAAAAGAATGCACAGCTGACTTTGTAAAGAAGGGTTACTGCATGGATATACTTGAATGTTCTGAGTATACTAAGAAATTGCATTGCATAATTGGAACTGATGGAAGTTGTTTATGGGTAAATAATTAGTGTTATCAATATTCATAATGTGAGGACATCTAATTCAAGACTCATGAAGAATGTCAAAAAGTCTCAAAAGATTGCACAACTGATGGAAATTAATGTGTTCCAATTACATTCTGTTAGGAGACTAATACTAATGGAGGATGTTATTTAGGAATAGATGGGGAATGTATTTAAATTGTTAAAGATGATGTAAATGTTTGTACATAATTTGAATCTTGTAAACAAATAGCCCTACCTTCTCATTCTTAATGCTATGCAACAAAAAGTGATTGTACCACAGATGGTGTGACATGTATCACTCTTACTGATTGTAATAAATATACACTTCAAATTTCTTGTGTCATTAACAGTGAAGGCAGAATATTGTAGGATAAAAAAGTAATTTCAACTGGATAGTGCGCTTGGGATTCCTCTGCTAATCAATGCAGAGATCAAGGTTGCACTGATTTAGTAGGTACAACAAATGAGGCATGCGAATCATAACTTTATTCCTGTACTAGTAATGGTAAAACCTGTGTTTCGAAATTTAATTGCTCCAGCTTAACAAATGAAGCAGAATGCAAGATTGCTAAAAGTGACGATGGACAATGTTTTTGGTTTAGCAATAAATGCGAGGTTATTGGTTGTGCTAATATTGCCAATGCCAATTCTGTTGAAAAATGTAAAGAATAGAATAGCAAATGCACTTATGATGGCTAATCCTGCATAGCAATAGGTATATGCAAGGATTACAAAACCTAAACTTCATGCAATTCTAAAGGAACGGATGGTTTTTGCTCTTGGACACCTCCTGCTTCATCCAATGTAACTACTACAACTGAGCGTAATGTTTGTAAAAAGATGGAATCATGCCAACAATCCGAATAGGATCAAAACTCCTGTTTGTAGGTCAAAGATTTGTGTTATTACAAGCAAGCTACAAACACATCCTCTAGTTAATGCTTAGAGCACACCTGTGCAACTTATTATGAATAGAATGATATCTGCTAATTCTTTTATAATTTTAACAAATCAGAAATAACATTTTGCCAAATCAAAAATAATACATGCATGCCAATAGCGGATCCTACAACTTTAAGTTATAACGATTGTTATTTGCTCTCAGGTTATACTTATACATTCAATAGTCAATAATCAAAATGCGAATCTTGTCAACCACCTAGAAAAAATGTTACTATCACGCCGCCGATCTTCGCTAATATTCTAACATTCTTTTTGATTGTACAAATAATAGTATTTATTTGAGACTTATTCATGAATAAACAATGAATTCATTTTTTAAGTTTTAAAAATTTTTATTTTTATTAAAACTAAATATATAGTTGCCTTCTTGTTTATATAATTTATCTTAATTCAATTTATGAGAATTTCTAAATCCTTATTATTTGATGAATAAAACATAAATTTGAATTTTAATTAAAAATAATCATTATACTATTTCTACATTTCTTTATTATAATTGCTTGTTAGTTAATGCTTTGATCTCGATAGACTTTTCGTATTTCATGTCAGGAATGGCTTGTCTAGTTTATTCAATGAATTTAATATCATGATTTCTTAGATTTGGCAATTCCTTTTGCAATTCATTTTTATAGGCACTATACTTTTAGTAATATTGTAAGAAGCATTCCTTCATAGCCTTCAAATCTCCGGCTGTGGCCTTTGAATAATTAGAATGAGTGATACTTGTGTAAGATCTTCGACAATGTAGGGGAAGGGATTGCTCAGGTAGGGTTCTGCCCAAGTGTGGGTTTCAAGCAGGACATCTAGAAGAGCCATTTTTTCAATTTGATTTTCATCTGTTTCTCCTGTTCTTCTGGGCGGGATTCGAGTGGCTTCAGTATAGTTGATACCATGAGGAGCTTCAACCCAATAATTGTTGATGGGCACTAGGTGTGGTATTCCCACATAGGCATTTATGGTTTCGCATCCTTCGAAAGCACTCTTCAACATCCCAGTCATGTACAAATCCTTTGGGGTTTAGAAGACATGTGGCAAGAAGTCATAGGCGGCTTTTCTGAGAGTGATGGGAATATCATTCATCTATTTGGTCTTTTGTAGTGTGTATTTGAAGAGGTCTCTGGCCTCTTGGATTTCAAGAGTGCCACCCAAATTTAATTTGTGCAAATGATCAGGCATGTCAGCCAACAGAACTTTGTGTTTGCCCATAAGGGCTGTGTAGAGGACACGATTGATGAGATAATATTCTGAATATCTATGGTTGATAATGTGTTCGTCGATAGTTTGTATGAATAGATTTTTATTGGCTTCTTGTATTTCTTTGGATTGGATGTTGGCGTAGGAGTAGGTGCTGAGACCTTTGGACCAATCAATTTCTTCCATATTTTTATTGGCATTGAGCATGTCCAAGACGACTAGATTGACTACTGCTTCTTCCCAAGCATGTGGTTTGAGGGGATCAATCAAGGGAGTGTCGTACATTTCGTAGCCTTCCACGTTCTAGAGTGCACATTTGTGAGCGAGGAATCTCTGTCTTGCTAGATAAGGGGAGGGGTCCAATTGCAATACGATGAGATCTGGATGCATTCTAAGTAGAGGAATTGGATATACTGAGTGTTAAGACTGTTGAAGAGATCGTAATTCTGGAATTTGTCTTTGGTTTAACCATAGGGCACTCCAGTGACATAGCAAGTGTCTGAACTTTCGTGATTGTTTGCCAGATATCCTTGATTGGCTGCTTTCAATGGTTTGAGTTTGACTGATTTGGGTGTTTTGGCACCATAGCAGTCTCTTTGGTTGAGGAAGTAGAGCTCGGCGGAGAGCTACTCGTAGCGATATCTCAATTTCTGATTGAGGGATCTAACAATTTTAATTCTTTATAACATAAATAATGTTAGAACACAAGCGAAATCACTCTTAGAAAATTAGAACTGTGTAGATAAGATGCTATGATAAACAGGTGGCGATCGACATAGCAATGGACAAGAGTGTGGCTGATCTCCTGAACAAGGTATGAGTATCGGAGAGTTAATTATGGTAGCTTCGCGAACATCCAGCAACGCCAAATTCATAATAGTTGGTTGCTTTGAAAACAGTTTCGAATTCAATCACGATGGATTACATGTTATCAGTGCCAGAAGAGAGAGGTAAGTGTTCATATCATTATTAATCAGCTTAACTGCCCATACACAAGTTAAAACAGGAAGCTTTGATTGGAGTCTATAGATAGAATGCTCATAAATAAAATCTCAGTCTTTTAGACTTCACATTTGAACGATGCATTGGCAAGGGGGGCACTTCAGAAGTCTACTTGGTACGTCATCAAGTGTCTGGAAGATTGTTTGCTCTGAAGATGATCAAAAAATAATATATTACTGATTGCAGGAGACTGGAACAAATCCTTAGAGAAAAGAAAATTCTGTCTCAAGTTCTGAATCACTCCAAGTTCATCATTCCATTGTATGCCACATTTGCAACCAAAGACCATCTTTGTTTTTTAATGGAGTACTCTGCTGGAGGTGAGATGTTTTACCATCTCTAAAATTACCGTTTTACAGATGATGAAGCTCGAGCTTACATTTGCGAGGTCATTTGTGCCCTGGAAGAACTCCATCAGCATCGTGTCTTATACAGAGACCTGAAAGTAATTCATAAATTTGAATGTCTAGCCAGAGAACATACTCATAGATCTTAGAGGTCACATTTAACTCACCGATTTTGGGTTGTCCAAATTGGATTTGAGCGAAGAGCAACTAACCAATAGTTTCTGTGGTTCTCCTGAGTATATGCCTCCAGAGATAGTCAATCGATAAGGTTATTCATATCCTGCTGACTTCTACACTCTAGGGTGTTTATTGTATGAGTTGTTGTTGGGTTTGCCTCCTCATTATTCTCAGAACACTGAAGAAATATTCCATAAAATTTAGAATGAGGACATCTCCTTCCCTGAAGACTTGAGTACAGATGTAATGTCATTGTTGTAAAATCTTTTGAATAAGAATATTAAAGAAAGAATACATGACTTTGCTACCTTGAAAAAGAATCCCTGGTTTGCTAATGTCGATTGGCAGGCTGTCAAATAGAAGAAATCCACTCAGATGCCAATATTCATTGATATCTATGAGACTCACATTCATTAGGAGTTCTTGAAAATAGATGTAACTGATCTCAATCAAAGGAATGAACATGGCGAATTAAGTAATTCTGAAGATCTCTTTGATTTCTTCAATTATGTCAATGAGTCATACAAGGACATATTCTAATTGAAGTAGAAGATGCGAGTTCAAAGTGATCATCTCATTGATAAGAAGCTATTACAAATTAGTTAATCAAGCTCAAAAAAGAAGAATCTCCAATTAAATCTAAATGACATAGAGAAGCAATTTTCAAAAACTCAGACTCTGAAATAATCACTTACACCCTAGAGTGTGATGCCACTCTCTTTGTTACGCAAATCATTTCAGTAGATGATGAAAGAGAAACCCAGAAAGAGCCAAGACAATCATCCCACTTTAAGTACCGTGTTATCTGATAGGCCCATAATAGATCGCAATTATGTAGCCATCTCGTTATTAATAGTTGTAGATTTAGAAGATGTTGTTAACTTTAACAAGCAAGAAGAAACCACAGAGTCCTTCACAAAATGGGTTGTCTTGGAGACCACCTCAAGTGAAAAGAGGGTCGAGTTCATCGACTCATTTGAAATCATCTATAAGTTAAAGAGGATAGAGTTCAACAAGATAAATAAAATGATATACTACTTATTTATTATGAATTTCATTCTACTCTACTTAAATCAGCCTATGATTGATGATCATATCCATATTGATCTACAAATACTTCTGGGTAGATCTTATTGTAGAAACGAGGGACGGACAGAATAGTTGGGTTGATGTCTGGAGATAATGAGTCATTCTCGTTCATTTCTCTAATGAAATATCTCTAAAATATCTTACTTAGCAGTCAAATCCAAAGGATTCATTTGATACAAATGGTCTTTCTTTCTATTCTCGTTTCTTACAATGCCCATCAAATACTCCCTAATCATTTTGAATCTCTTCTTGATTCTGGCACGTTGTTCAGCTCTATTGGTGAATAGTTTTCTTGTCAACCAATTCTTGTTTTACAAATCTGGGAATTTCACATTTATCTTGTTTCTCAACTTATCCAAGGCTTCCTCTTAGCCATCCAATTGAGCCCACAGAATTTCCCACAGGATAATTGCAATAAAGACTCCATTGATGATGATCAGAAATATGTAGAAGGGCCAAATGATCTCCTGGTTGGAAGTCTAGTTGGCTGAATATAGAGTCATTCCCAACACAATGGAGGTACCACAAACTAATGTACTCATATCATCCAAATAATTTAAGTAGGGTAACTTAAATGGTTTATATTTCTTGGTGAGTAGAGAATATATGAACACAATGATGAAGATCAAGGCAGCCTTGATGATAATTAGATCTTCGTAGAATGTCAAAAACAATATGATGAAACTCTTCTGGAAAATCTTTACTATTTCCCAAAAGTAAGCCTTGGGTTGATATTCATTATATAGATAACCCCATTTCTTTCTATTTTCTCCATCGTTCAAATCGTTTTTAATCTTGTACATGCTCAAAAACATATAGGCAGGTATGATCAATCCAAGTGTGAATGCAGAAGGGAATACAAAAGTAAGAACCCATTTCAAATGTTGGGCAGTATCATATCTGTAGGCCACATTACCTTGAACCCAAAAGATATTCGACACTTGTCTGAATGACAACAGAGATACAAAGCCTCCAAGCAGAGTAGGTTGCAAATAGGTGAACAAGTATATGAAGGTGGTGGTGATGGCACTCTTACTGGCATCTGCTTGACGTAAAAGGATAGCAATTCCGTACAAAATAAAGAAGGTTACAATGTAGATGATTGGCATGATCAAAGCCCATATCATTCTAAAATACATGACATTGATATCTGAAATCTTGATCAAGAAACAATCCAAAGAATAACTCATGGACTCTACAGGAGATCCAACAGTCTTGAATGCACTTGTGAGAGCACTTGGCAAAGAAAGTTAGAATGTCTAAACTGCTCCTATAATTTGGAGATAATTGGTGAGCACTTTAATTAAGATACCTCCCTAACCAGCTTTAGTTTGTTCAACAAAATATTTCGAAAACTTATTACTTATGATCATGTTATTAACAGCTTCCATTGTGCTCTTCACTGAAAGCATAATGGAAATCAAAGTCCTAAAATAGATTAAATATTAAGTTACCAAGTACTAATAAGAGCCACTTTGATTGTATTGTCTCCCACATCATTGCAACTACCGCATTTATACTACGCACTCACTGACCATTGTCCATTTCCCATAATATTGTAGATATCACATTACTCACATAAAGCCCCAATATGTCCCGAGAAGCAGGAGGCATCTCCTGGAGTCCAACCTCCCTCGCAATTGATCTGCATATTCAAACAGTATTCAATCCTAGTACTATACGAATAGGGTCTCCAATATCCGGGTCTGAGTTTGACACTGGCTGAAGTGACTGCCTCTGTTGAGATGGTGTCTTTGACTTGGCAAGTCTCTCCTGCAATGACGGAATATTAATCTTGTTGTGAATCGCAGACAAGACAAGTGCCATCTTCATCTCTCTTCTATTCTCCAACTTAGCAGTCGAAGGATTACACATTCACTCTCAATCTGTAATTTTCGATTTGATATTTCAATAAATATGGGGGTTCTGGATTGAAGATGGGTATTCTAATAGAATTACACAAGAACTCAATTTGCAAGACAGCTTGGGAATTGGATTTCGGATCAAAATAAACAATCATCTCATCTAAATTGTAATCTTGGGAGGTTGTGTTGAAGCTTATCTCTTGCACACTGGTGTATGGAGAGGGTTGAGTGCTGGTGACATTATCCATGTTTTGAGGATCGATATCAGTGATATTTTAGAGGTTTATCTTCCTTGAAAAGATAGAACACTTGCTGCCATCCAGATTCTGTATTTTGTTGGCTTGTTTGTTCAGTGCTATGATTCTGAAGGTCAAATTGTATGATAAGTATTATTGTGTTTCTTCGTCAAAATATTTATAAGTATTGATGGCTTGTCCACTGGGAAGAGTGATGTAATCCTTCTAAGTGTTGGAAACATTGTACGGTTTAATGGTTATGACATCGATGATAGTTGTTAAGTTAGCAAAGAGTCTCTCCTTTTCAAGGTAATCAACTCCGCCATTCAATGACAGAGTCAACTGATTGGGGTATTCTGCATAATTTTATCCAAACAACTGTGCCTTATTATTTCTCAATTGCAGATTCAGTACACTTGGTGAATTTAGAGTGTAATTTTATAAAAAGAAGGCTCCTCCAACAGCAGCTTGATTACTGCTGATTTCTGAATCGTAGATGTTCAGAGTGGCTTGTTTTGAAAGGAAATAGATGGCTCCTCCTGATTCAGAGGCAATGTTGGATTGGAATTTGCAATTATCGAAGAGGATATTGATGTCATTGACATGAAAGACTCCTCCTTTGGTACCAAAGTTATTATTAAAGGTGCTTTCACGTACAGTGACAGTGTAAATAATGGAGTTCTTGGAAGAATCATCAACTAGCAATCTCAATCGATTTTGGTTATATTATTATTGAATAACAATACAACTCAATTGTCCACATTGAGATGATTACAATAGTACTTTCTCAAAGGTGATTATGTTATTGCCCAATTTGAAGTAGTTCAAAAATTCGAATTAGATTAATCCTTCAGTGCATTTTTGACAAATGATGGACTAAAACTTAGTGTTTTGAATCACGATGGAATGGTCTGTATCAATATTGATTATAGATATCAAGGATGTGGGATAGCTCTAAGCCAATTGGACATTTTTGATATTCAGAATTGAATAGTAATCTATTATGGTTTGATTCATGTCAATTTCAATGAATGTAGGTGCTATTTGAGAGTAATCACAAGTTAAAGCTAGAGCAGTGTAGGACACTTCACATTCAGGTACAATATTGTCATTGAAAGCATAGACTGAAATGTTTAGGAATTACACATTCTGCATAACGATTACAGAAATAGTTGACAATGAGAGGAGTGGTTGACTGCCTGTAATATAATTACTTACTATGACGTTCTTCATGCTTAATTCCCCATTGGATATTTCGATTAACCCATTCATGTAATCAGTGAAACTGGAATTCTACAAAGATAACTTGCCTTTGATTGAAAAGATATAATTCAAGTGGTAATCACTTATCTCTGATTAAGATAGTTAATAGAGTTATCCCAAATATTGTTTTAATCCTTAATAGGAATTCTGGAGAGTGAGATTTTGAGCATCCAAATTCAATTGATTTGACCCAAAAGTCTTAATGAAAGAATAGTAGATAGAATAAGAGTCCTGAATTAGTACGTCTTCGAGGTACATGTTGTTCTCGCTACTCGAAGGAATCACATAGATGACACCTCCTTCTCTTCTGCTATAACTATTCAAGAATGTGCAATTCAAAATTGTCATCTAAATTTGAGAAGAGGATGCATCAATAAAGATTGTTCCACCTTGCGCATTAGAAACTTATTCTAAAGATGCTCTGCATTCCTTGAATAGAATGTCTTAAAATTTCACAATACCATCAGATTGAGGCTATAGATAGATAGCACCTCCAAGCAATGAAATCGAACCAATTATATTTACATCTTTGATCATGGTGGTGTTTGCAGATAAATAAGCACTTCCACCGAATGTCTTGATTGGAAATGCTTAGTAGAATTCCTCTTGTTTTGGAATGGCAAAGCTTTCCAAACCCCAGACGATATTCTCTTGTATCACATTGAAATGCAATTGATTTGAATAGAGGAAACTACAAGTTGTTATTGTAATGCTGTTGCACTTCAAAACTAAGTTTGAATTCTATCCATTCGTAGCTATATTCTTTTCAAAGTTGTTTCTGTTCAGTATGACACTCGAATTTGGACTGGAAAACAACAATGTTGAGGAGGATACAAATGATAAATCTGATATGTAACTATGTTGGAAATTATACAAAAATTTAGAGTCCTCTACAAGAAAATCCTGATTTTATTCAGAAATGATTGATATGATAGCTTACAACTCACTGATCTTACTCAGAATTAGCAGATTCTCACTGAAGATACTATTCCTTATTCTGATGGACTCCTTTTACCTAATTTTCAATCTATCTGATGATTTAATAGAAATCAAAGGTTGATTGATACTTTTGATCTTATAGAGTGTGATATGATTCATATCTATCTCCTTGATGTTATATAAGTACAAAATAGTAGTATAAATTTGAGGTATTGCATTTGCTGAAACACAAGACAATCTATTGTTAAGCAATCTTAAGAAATCAGAATTTCTGGTGACATCCAATTTGTCTATTTACACTTTGTTACTATTTAGAATTGCCATTTCTGGGAATGTCTTACCTCTCACAATTTTGGTATTAGTAAGAGTCAAGTCATAACTGTCAAAGTAAAAAGTTGAATTTTCTGATGCTATGTATTTTTGCTACAATTTGGTTAGTGTGTATAATTCATTCTAGTCAATAAACAAGTCGTTAATTGTGATTGTCAATCCAACAAACGTTGTTTAATAGATTTCCATGAATGCCTTATTACCCAAGTATTTGTTTAATTCAAATTTTATTGTTTGCATATCTATGGTGTTTCCATCATTGGCATCAGAGTATTACACTGATGCCTTATTGGAAATCAATATTACATCGTCTGTACTCAAGATGTTGTTCTTTACTTGCAGATCAGTTATTGAGAATAATGGTAGAATCAACCATCTACTTTTTGTACTCAATTTGGATTGTTGCAAGACTATCTAATCGATATTCACTCTTTTCACTCCTTCAAAACTAGCGAATGTAGATTCAATTAGTTCATCCGATGTCTAAGTAAACTAGGTGATGTCGACTACAGCCATCCTAACGTTAAGAGGGAAATCTGTTCTAAAGGCTTACGATCCCGATCTGAAGAGATTGGATGTAAAGACTGTAGATTAGATTGATATCTTGAGATTGTTGTAATTTTCAGATAACTTGAACAAGAAGATCTTTGAATTAGTGAATTAACTGTTTTTGATATCGATGTTCGTTAGTTGCAGGGTCACATCATCTTTCTTTAGACTTCCAAAACATTGTACGATACCAGTTGAATTGACTATTCTACTATCTTGAATAGCAAATTGATCAATATTAATGGAGGTGGCATTTTCCACTACGATAGAAAAGGAAATATCGATGACCTTCAATGTGATGCTATCCAAGATTAACTCGAATTGGAATTAATCATAGATGTACAGATTTTGGTTTTTCGATGAACTTACCAAGGTGAAATCCTTTAACAATACTTAGTTGAATCCAGTAATGATGAAATTTTCATTAAAAATCACATTTGTTGTGCCATAGAACTCAAGATTAATAGTTTTCAAAGTAAATACATTCTTTCTTAAATCCGAAATGATTTGGAAATTGTCAGGCAATTTGCATGATAAAGTAGTATCATCATTAATCAATCTCATCTTAATGGTCATCTCTTTGAGAACCTTCTAATTGAACACTATGGTATGACTATCGGATTCGTAAGTAGGCGAAGCGAATGCAGTCAAATCCTAATCATATCCATTTAAGACAGTTGAGACCTTCTTGTTGCAATAGAGTTTCAAGTCTATCACTGCCTTTTGCTTGCATGTGGATGCACTTGAACATTCAATGAAATTCTCCAAATCGAAATCGTAATTCAAATTCACGCTAGGTATGGTATAACTTTTGAGGCATATGTAACTGAATTTGATGAAATCAGTCTTTGTTGGATCAAAATACGGATTGACTGTTTAAAGAGACTGCGCATCCCTTTATTTGCATAAAGCACAATTGTATGGACATTCGATGCACTCTCCATTACTCAGAGTCAACCTTTAGCCATTCCAGTTTTCTGTACATTATATGCAAATGGCTTATTCATTAATAATCTGACACTCTTTGCAATTGGAATCACAAGATTTAATGCATTTCCCATTTACATAATCATATCCCTTCAAACAATTGATGCATTTGATCTCTCCGTCGTTGGTCTTTAACACTAAATCCAAAAAGTCTTAACCATACTAGGTATTATAGAATGATGTAATGTCAAGTTTCCAAGAATCCTAATAGAACCTATCTTCCAATACACAACTCTTGCAATTTCGATCACTATCACACAGAGAAGTAGTGTTTGTTGAATTGGTCAATTAATACGATCCTTAAGGAATGCTTGTTGCACTTAATAGAACGTTCTAGCTATTCTGTTCAAGATATCTGGATGATACAGCTAAATTAAAATCAATGACACAAGAAGTCAATTTGTTGATACTCTGAGTAACGCATAAAGCACACTTAACAACAACATCCTCTTTCTTCTAAACAATAGGATAGTCTTTGAGCAAAGAGATGGCTGAAGAGTTGCTCACACTTTCTTCATAAGCAATCAAACAATTAGTGATTTTGTTTTCATAACAGTTTTAGCCGTCTAATGAGATATAATACTAATTGTAATTCACACATTTGAAACACCTCTATGCATCACATATTAAGCAATTCCAACCACATTGGTTGCATTTACCTCCAGATAGATAAAATCCAACAGGACAACTTGTGCATTAGGGAACATCTCCAATGAAAGTGCATTCAGTGCAACTATCTGGACATTTCATACAGAACTAGTTACTAACCAATTTGAATCCATCTTAACAACTCTAGCATGCGTAATGTGAATCACATTGATCACAATTTTCATTTTAATCAATACATTAATTATTGACTGCTTTGCTACAACTCTTGCATAGAATAGTTGATCTAACTCCTAGATGATATTGTGATATTAATTTGTTAGAATCCAATTATTAAGTGTCTGATACTATCTTCAAACATTAAGGACATAATTCCAGATTCAAATCAGCCGATATTGTAAATAATTAATATGCACTTTCCATTCTATTGATCAATTTGAAGGCATTGCTTGGATTGGAATTGAATGCCAAATAGTCATATGTGCAAATGGGGTTTAAATACCAGTCTTAACTATTAACGTAACAATCTCCACATTGAATTGAGATGTCACTCATTTGAGTTGGACAACTTAGACATTATTAAGTGTTCCCATTCTTAATTAAAAATTATCCCTGTTAACATGTGTTGACTTGACTGGCCTCTTAAAAGATACTGGAACCAACTCTGTCAGTAAAGCCTAATTAATGTAGAGGGATCAATACTTTCACAGACCACTAAACTTGGATTGGTATTCTCCACGTAGTTCCTTTTACACTGACATTAATTGTCTGTTAATACTCTGAATTGAGAAGGTTGACATGATGTACATTGATTCACTTCAGGACCTATGCATTATTTACAAAGAACATTGCAATCTTAAGAATATAATCAATGACATACCCATCACCATTGTAAAGGTATCGCCGAAACAATATTCTAATTTCAGAAATGCCAATTGTCCTTTCATTAAGGACTCAGCGTATTTGTCTCTGCCTACTATCATTACGAACTGTTGAGTTGAGAAATGATTCTTCTTCTCAACATAATAATCTGTGATTTCAAAATCTTTGAATTTGAAATAAATCTTCGTGTTGCCATATCCAGTTTCAGCCTCCACAAAAGACCCATGTTAAAATGAAAAGTAATGCCATTGAGTGACTTGATCCTCATATTTAAGACCTTGGACACTCCATTTGTCGTCTTCTCTAGTTTAATAGAAAGTTAATTAGGCAAAAATAAATGAGAAAGTATGAACTGATATTTTTGTATTTTCAGGGTACTCGTAATCCTATTGGTAATTCAACCATATTTGTCTGTCTCCTTACAAGTAATCGTCTGCATAAAAATCAAATAATGCCATTCGTAATGCAGTATATGAGGATTTATTTTGAGCCAAATTCAACTAATCCAATTTAATCCATGTGGAGATAGCGTAGTTCCTTTCGGCATAGAATAAATCATCCATCTTTGATCCCATTTAACCGACATTGTAGATATTATCAAACATATATGTTACTTTATTGCCAGCAGAACACTAATCTGGAAAATTGCAACCCGCGCTCAAGGCTGTGTTGAAATCAGATATAGTGTTGTAGAATTCGTCCTTAAACAGTATTTCACTCTTTTGGCCAAAATACAGATATCCTGATGTTTCTTGTGGGACTGAAGTTATATACCCAGCAGAAAACCCAGATTTTCTTCTGTTTTTTCTGTCATTCTCAACCCCAGAGATGAAGTATGTCTGATCGTAGTTACTATCGATCAACAATTTATAATAAAATCTAAAATCCCCTGAAGCTATGTTTTAACAATAATAAAGATAAGCCCATCTCCCTTCGATCATGATATTATCCAAAGAGATTTGGTTTCTTAGAGTATAACTTCCAAACTATTCTAGAACTACGTAAAACTATTGTATATCAAGGGCACAAATCACGTAAATCTTGGAGTACATAGCTGTTTTCAAAGTATCAAATTCATAAATCAATTATAAAAAAGGAAGAGTAGTTTTTTTAAGTTCTGTTGTATTTAGCATGGGTACCCATCTATGCCACATTCCATACCCTATGATATTCTTGCCTGTGTAATCCATCTCTATCACATCCTCCAAGAGTGGATTAACTGAAGATGACATCTTATCGAAATTAAAACAAGGAGCTCCCTGAATGCAATATCTAATTAGCTTAAAGTCAATACCCTAGTAAAGCACTAATCAGAAAACCTATCATTTTATTAGAGTTTTAATAATAATAATAATTTCATTTTTGCCAACTTCCTTTAATTCGACCAAAATCTTATACAAATCAAAAAAACCAATAAGAAAACCAACTTCAGACAACGTTATTCTTTGATCTCTCGGAATGCAAAATTGCAAAGTGTATATAATATATAATCAATGAAAAATTTCTCATAACTCATTAATATATAAAACCATACTATCCTATTATAATTAATATATACTTTTCGAAGTTGTTTTTTTTCAATATTATAATTAAATCTCTAGATATTCTTTTCGATACCAAAAGTATAACTTTTATTTAAATACTTATCTCATTTTCGTGGTTAGGTAATCATTAGAAAATTAGTGTAATAAAAGATGTTCCTATTATTAATCAATTTTATAATTATACATAATATAAGACATATGGATCAAAATCATCTAAAATTAAATTTTAGTCAATTCATCGTTGAGAAACAAAACTCATATACGGATGACTATAAACTAGGAGTAAACATTCCATTTATTGTTTAGGGAGTATTGGGTGTTGGTGCATTTTCATAGGTCCGAAAAGTCACACATAGAAAAACAAGAGCCATACGAGCTATGAAAGTTCCAAAAGTGTTTATCATTTATAATAGGTCATAAGTAAATCCAGACTGTCTACTGCTGAATTGCAATAAAAGTTTATCAATGAAATCAACGTGTACAAATAATTGGATCATCCTCACATACTTAAATTATATGAGTTTTATCAAGATGAAAAAAATTACTACATCATTATCGAATTGTGCACAGGGTACTCATTTTAATCGAATTTAGTGGAGAATTGTTTGATAAAATAATTGAAAAAGGCAGTTTTTCAGAAAAAGAAGCATCCTATGTAATGAAGCAGATCATGTCTGCAGTCTTGTATGCTCACAATCAAAACATTGTTCATAGAGATTTAAAACCAGAAAATATTCTACTTGATATAACCAGCCAAGGCAATTATAATGTGAAGGTGGTGGATTGGGGAACAGCAAAAATATTTTCACCTAATCAATAAATAAATGAAAAATTTGGAACTTTGTATTATATGGCACCAGAAGTATTGAAACGCAATTACAATGAAAAATGCGATATTTGGTCTTGCGGTGTTATTTTATATATTTTATTATCTGGTATGCCTCCATTTGGTGGAAAATCTGATGCTGATATACAAAAGAATATTTTGTATGGCAAATATTTATTAGAAGTATCATGAATCTGATATTTTTAAGGGTGAAGTTTGGAATTCTGCAAGTGCTCATGCTAAGGATCTAGTTACAAAAATGCTTTAATATGATGTATAAAAGAGATTAAGTGCTAAATAAGTGTTGGAACACCCATGGTTTTTGTAATAACATTAAGAAAAAGTCGATAAATAGGTAGTTTAAGGGAGACTCAAGAATCTTATGAATTTCAGAGCTGAATAAAAATTATAATAAGCTACCTTGATGTTCATCGGAACCACCATGATTTCCAAAGAAGAGAAAAATTAGTTAGTAATTATTTCATTATCGATAAGATGTAAGCTTTTAAAGAGATGGATTAGAATGGAGACGGGATCCTTACAAAAGAAGAGATCCTCGAAACCTATAAGAAGTACATGGATGATGAAACTGCTTTACAGGAAGTTCAAAAGATCATGGACTTAGTGGACATGGATGGCTCAGGTACTATAGACTATACTGAATTCATTATTGCTTCAATGGATCGAAAAAAAGCTGTGTAAAAAGAGAAATTGAAAGAAGTAAATAATTATCTTAGATAAGGCATTTCAAATATTTGACAAAGATGGCAATGGATATATCTCGGAAGCTGAAATCAAAGAAGTCTTGGGACCATCTTTAACAGGAATTGATGAGAAATATTGGTTAGATATGATCAGAGAAATTGATAAAAATGGTGATGGATAAATCAGTTATGATGAGTTCTGTGACATGATGATGAAAATCATTTAATGAAATATTTAGACTAATTTCATCTTTATAATAAATGTTCTAACATTGCCTTAAATGTATCTTACAATATATTGCTTACTACTATTCTCCCTCTTGCTATGTATTAATATATTTTTTATTAACCTATTTTACATTAATTGTTTCATAGTGCAAACTTAATATGTCCTTTTTTAAATATTTTGATTCTCCAAATTGCTGATTATTCATCAACCTTAATTTCAATACTTGTAGAGATTTAAATGCTCTTTCTCAAGAATTGATTTGGATGTGTTTAAATTGAGGAGAAAAAAAGCATTTTTTTGATGAAAATAAAGTTTTTGTTCATTTAATTACACTAAAATATTATTAAATATTCTGATTAGAATAATGATTAAAATTAAAGGTTAGGTTGATTCTATTTGTTTTTAAAGTAAATTGTTGTTTTCCTTAAATACCTTATTATTCCTCCTAAGAAGTCTATTTTCGATTATTCAACATATATTTCAAAGAACCAATCATTAAATGTAACTAATAATTCAAAGGCTTTATAGATTGCCTGTTACTCATTAGTTACTTATGCTCCATAGCTTAACTTTTATTAATTTTTATGTTAGATAAATTTTAGTACCATTTTATAAATATATAGTTTGATCTTTGCTTATCTCTATTAGACCATCCATTACAATCAAGTTTTCCTATTCTAATAAATGCTAAAGTATATTTCAGATTTGAATTTTATATTGAGATTACTTCTAGTTTCCTCATTAGTATATTATACTTAAATCTATGATAAAAGTTCCTTTTTTAAATTCATGTTGTTCCAGAATATTACAACATTTTTACATTAATTGATATTCCTATTATCCTACTTAATTATATTATAATATCTATATTTAATTAAATATAAAAAATGTATATATTTAACAACCATCAAGAAAATAGTTCTAAAAATATTAAATCTGCCAAAATATGAAAAAATCTTATACAAATTATTTGATTCATTATTAATGCATTTCCTTCCAAAACTACATTACTTTCCCTGACATAATTTAATCTACCAAATTTATGAACTCTTGTTCTGGACTATTGGCTGGAAATTTGTAATTCTCAACTCCTTAAAATAAATTTTATTTATTGGGAGCATATAATTAAGTAGAAAAGTCAGGTAATAATAAATTCAAATGTTTGCAATCATCTGATGTAAATTTTGGAATTGCAGGGGGGAATACCTATCTATTACATATTATAGCTTACTTTTAATTTGTCTAAATTTTCTTTTTATTTCTTATGATAATTTTTAAGGAAAATAGCTGCCATCTTCTTAAAGCTTTCCTTGTCTCCTCCAGTTTAGAGATATGTCTGATAAAGCATTTAACCCACATGAGTTTAAAATTCCATTTTGGATCCGACAAGAGTGTTTTATGTCTGTTGGTTGGGTGTATCATTTGCAAGTTAATCAGCTTCATTTACCTTCTTTTATTTCTCTTTTTACTATTTCAGTTTCCTTTCTTCTTCCTCTCTTTAGAGTTGTTACCTTTTGTGTAAAGCCAATTGCATTTTTTTCTTAAAACTGAAATAAGTTATATCCTATTCTTCCTCCAATTTTTACTCTTCATTCTCATTTCTATTTGGATTCTCTGATTATGATCTTGGTGGTTATTTAGTATCCTATTTAACTTAAACTTGTTCTTCTTATTTCTATTATTGCTATTAAGTTTCTCTTTACAAAATTTCCAAATAATCTACCTTGTCAACCTTTTATTTGAAGATGTTAAGCCTATGATTAATGGTTTCCAATGTTGGCAGAGTCTGGCCACCTTAACTATTTCTTATAACATCTTTGCCTAGCAATTTCCAACCATGTACAAATTATTGTTACTCTGATTTAGAAATTAAAGTTTGCCTATAAATAGATTAATTCTTTTACTTATGTTTATTTTAGTCAGCTTTTTCAGAATTTTCTTCTTTTTCTTCCTATTCGAATTTGATGGCTTCTTGTAATCCTGGGTTTTCTGTGAAAAATTGTGCCATTTGTTCTTTAAGATGGAAAATAGTGTTTGTGTCTGCCTCTGCTTCTTCCTCTTCGATGCTGGAATTGAATGAATTATCACTGTTCATTGAATCATCAGAGGAAAAAACAATGGCTTCCTTCTGTATTTGGATTTAAGATGCTCTTTTCATAAATATTATGCAAATTATATATTATAAAATATTAGAATCAAAATAAAAATGATTTACGATCAGAAGAAAGTTTTATTTGATTCATCTTTAGGATTTCTTAATTAAGTTATTGTACTTTTTGTAATTATTTGATTCTTTTAACGAATTTTTCTTAATCGTTTGATAGAATCTAGGATTATATTTGATTACTTGCTTTATACAAATTATCAATATTTATTTCTAGAATTGAATTTAGGGAAGAATCATTTGTCATACTTGCTGAGCGAGATGTTAATTACTTTTTAAAGTTTTTCAAATAATGTTTGGATTCTTTGACTCTTTTGGTAAGGGGCTGTGTTTTTTAATTGATTTCATTAAATTGTACTTTTTCCTTTGGTTTAACAAACAGATAAGCATAAAGTTTGACATCTTTGTTTAATGGATCATTCAAAACATATCTCTCTTGTTCGTATTCTTTGAATTAAGTATTTTTCATTAGCATTCTCCTCTTAGCCTTACTCAGTAGCTTTTATTCCTATTATTCCCTTTCATCTATAAATCCCCTTAATTTTTGATCTATTATATCCCTGACTTTTTATTTATTAAAGAAATCTTAATCATTTTTGGATTCCTTGTTTTTTTTTAATTACTCATCGTCCCGCTTTACTCTGAGATACCTATGAGTGAAATAATTAACATTTTCATATTCTCGTTGTCCATCTGTCCTCTCTGTTATTAGATTCTTTTACTTAAACTTAGATTTATTGTTTTCACTAACCTCATAGAGTTGTCTAAAAAGTTACACATCTTTGAGATTAGTATCTTCAATGGGCTTAGTTTCTTGATTTTTTTGAATTAATTTCTTTATTTTTTCGAATCTTTATAAAACTTTGACTTTCTTTTCAATCTCTTAATCAGTCAACCCTTATTGATGTAAAGATCTGTATTTGTTTGTTACTTGCAATTAGTTGGCAAACATGTTAGCTCGTTTTACAAGTTTAAATCTATTTTTGAGTTTTGTTTCCTTCCTGTTCAAATGATTGCATTCATTCACTAAATTCAAAGCAGAAAGCTCTCCATTCAAATATTAACGAAACCCTTATCTAAGTTTCTCATTGAATTATATGGGATTTGGTTAGTTCAATGGGGATGAATAGAAGATGGGATCATTCCCATTTTTTTGAAATTTATTTATCTGATTTTTCTATTTTAAGGTGCTTTGGAAATTTCCAAACATTTGATCCCAGAGCAATACGTTTTATCCAGTACCATTTACAATTGATTACCTAGTACTGAACAACGTCATACGTCTTTTTGAGTTCACATTCAGCATTTTTAATATAAACTGCGCAAGTTAATTTGCCAAATATAATTAAATACATATATATCATAATCCTTTAATTTGTTTCAATATCTTCAAAGTGTCCTTTTCAAAAGTATTAGCAGCTGATACACAAACGATTAAATTAGTCAATGAAGTATTACGAAAAGCATTTTTTAATACTTTTGTAACCAGATGTGCATTGCATAATAGTAATCTCTAAGTCTCATTATGCGTATTCAAAATATTATCAATCTGACTTAATGCTTGATTATTAAAAGTAACTACGGAATATTGATACAAATTTACTTTCTTTTATAGCTTCAGGTGAACAATATTTAGCCTTTTGAGAACCTACTAAATCAACAAATTGGATAGCAAAATTTCCGAAATCCAATTTAACAATCAAAGGATATATTGTAGTAATGTTATTCATTTTACAATCACCCTAAGTTCTATTCTCATAACCTGATTTAATAATTTATAAGTATTAATCCACATTCTATATTGAGACTTTTTTTAAATTCAAGCAATTAAAACTCTCATTTGAATTGATCAATTTCACTTCCTATTAGGTGAACATATCAATTAATTTAGTTTGTCTTATTTCGATCATACTAAGTGAAATCTCCTATTGTTTTTTGCTGTCTATGTAAATCTACCCTATTTATTGAATAACTCCATCCTCTCTGAACATAGCAGTTGTTTTACCAGACTATAATAATCTACATAATTATACTGCACATTCTCCATAAGTTATAAACCATTGATCTTACTCTTAAATTTGATTATTAAATTGCAATTGCTAATCTTTAACAACTTAACAAAATTTGATATCATAATCCATAATTTTTATTCGATTTTCATTTATCACCAGGGAGTCGATTGCTCCTATATCAATATCTATTTGTCTCAAACCAATTACTCTACAATATACTTTTAAATTATTTTAATTCATTAATAAATCATGCCGATAAAAAAAAATTATTTTAATTAAGAATTTTTGTATAGTAGAATGATCCATATTAGAATAGATATAAATTTGATTATTAAAAAAAAAAGTAACGCAAAGAACTTCAATTCAAATTTTGAAAATCTTCTTCAATTATTGTTTTTTCTCTTCAGAACAATTTAACGATTCTATTTACTCCTTCTGTTCAAGACAATTCATTTTTTGAAAGTTTTGATTGTTCATTGAGAATGTGCTGTTCCTTTTTTGATCCAAGTAATTGATAAATCTAATTTAACCTTCAACCAACTATTGATATTCTTTGACCGTGCTCCTTATACGATTGGCTTGACTTCCATTTATAAACACTAAAATTATCGCATAATTTACTTTACTATTTCTACTATAAATTCTTGATTACAATTTACCCGTTAATTTCACCATTTAATTTAAGAATATAACTTAACCATAAATTTAAAATTATTAATATTTATTCAAGATCACTCTCTTAATTACTAATCAAGGAATTAAATAATTATAATTATTAGATTTTGTCCTCAAAATATATCCTCATATCGAATTCTTCTATGATTCTAGGAGAATATACTAATAGCTCATTTTCATCTCTCTACCCAACCAAAGGATGTTCAAATATTTGTACCCAACTTATCCTATCATCCTCGGAATATCTAAGCATCTATTTTATCAGATTTACAACAGATGGCATGTCATTTTCAGGAAATGGCACTCTATTGTTTCGTATATCCATGTGGAAACTTTTTATTTCGTTTATGTTAGTATTTGATTGATATGGTAAGAATCCATATACCATTTTAAAGAGGATCAGGCCCAGAGACCATACATCGCATTTTGAAGAGAAACACCCTTAAAAAAGTTAAGGAGAAGCATAAAATGGTGTGCATTTGATTGATAATTCCCATTTTATCTCAGGATTCGGAACAAATCTTGCAAATCCGAAATCAGCTATTTTGGCTTGATTCTTTTTAAAAACAATATTGTCTGGCTTGATATCTCGGTGAATTATATTGTTTCTATACAACTCCTTGTAACCATTGCAAAATTGCTTTATGAATTATATTATAGAATTTTTGTCGAATTTTTATTTTTGCATATGCTGTGTCAGATTACCTCCTTCACAATATTCATAAACCTCAAATTAATTTTCTTGGTGACTAAAAATTTCAATTAATTAAACTAAATTCTCATTCTCCCCTATGTTTTTGTAAACTTCCAAATTCACTTTGAACATTCGGTTTATCTATTTCAAAGCAAAAAGCTATTTTTTGCATTCAACCTTATAAACCTTCCCTTCACTTCCTTAACCAATTTCCTCCAATATTGTGTATTTTCCAATCTTTTTTTGTTATTTTTTGAAGCTATACCGAACATCCATAATGTAAATTGTAATAAAAATTATTAAAATAAAATTGTAATAATAAATTTATTTCTTCCAACATTTGCATAATGAATCTAATTTGGAATATATTGAAAATAAATATATATCTATATATAATGGATGATTATATTAAGTAAACTAACATATGCTCTAAAGTTATTAATGAATGGAGAATACTCTTAGGTTATAATCAATAAATTTTTATTGACAATAAATTGATGTTATCAAACAACAATCGGTGTTGTATAGGAGTTCCAACTATTAATTTATGATCATTTTGTAAGGTCATGAAGTAAATTTAAATCAATTAAAATATAATTTAAATAAACATAATTATGATGTTTCATTTGCTTTATAAATCAAAGATTAATTAGTAAAAACATTAATTTTAATATAAAATGAATATGACTACTCAGCTTATTGGTGGATGTCCGACAGAACCTTAAATCACAATCTCGAATAGCAAAAGTGGTGTGCTGGAGTAGATTTTATTTTCTATTGGCAAAAACCCAATAGTGCAAAGAAGAGTGAAAAATTCGAATAGAATGACCATTGAAGGGGCTTTTATAAGTCGTAATACTTACTAATGATTTATTATAATATATCGTATTAAACTAGATGGACACAAAACCCTTAGTGTTTTTTCATAGTATTACTGTTCGATTTTATTATAATATTCGGATGTATATTATAATCAATTATAAATAAAATCCTCATCTTCTTGTAAGACGACATTCTTTTTAATGCATTATCTGTAAAGAGTGAAAGCTACAGCAAATAGGATTGCCCAGCCCCAAGCAAACAATACGTATTACCAATCGAACCCATAAAAGACACCTATTTATGAAATAAACTAGAACCTGGTTCTTAATACAGGATTTTCTCAGCATCACAGGAGTCTTCACAGGTATTACAACCACAAGGCTATTTGATCTCGAATTTGTAAGGGTCGTAAAATTTTCCGTCGTTGGCCTTTTCGAAAGTTTAATTGCAATTATTGATGTCAGGCATTAGCAAAGAGTTTTATTCAGAAAACTCTATAGCGATTAATTAAAGAGATGAAGATCTAATGAATTGCATCATATCATACACTCCTTATTCGGCTTAAAAATTAAAGAATCCACCTGGGGTTGCCATGGCACTGACTTGAGAGGCAAAGTTTGTTCGTTGGCAAGATGAAAACACATCCTTATCATAATGATTTTATTTACACAGGCCACTTAAGGATGTATACGCAAGGTTACAGTCTACACATCAATAGTTCTGTTGGGGTTTCTAGGGTCAGTGACATTGGCTCTGCCAGTGATTTGAAGAAATTCCCCCTATCTTGGATCACAAGAGTAAACACACCAGAATCTTTTCATGTTTGCTGCACAACTATGGTTTGATTTGATTAGTATATGTCACATCCATCACCATCACTGCCAAAAGTGGCATCCAATGAGATGAAATCACTGGCAATTCCTTCATCTTATGCTTGAGTACAGCAAACTGGACTTTTCTCATAGAATTAACATTAACTCATTGATTCACTCATCCAGGGCTCTTTATCTGTTTCAATGGGTATTCTATTTTCATCAATTGTGTATGCGCAAGGTATTCCATAACTGAGATGAATTAATGTTAAAATCCATAACATATTTATTTTATAATTAAATTAATTCATTTATCAATTTAACTACTTAAACAACAGTTTGGCAATCTATGGAATAATTATCTTAAGTTAGAAAAACATAAAACTCTAAAAATTAAATTTATTAGAAATATAAAATATTACTTAAAAGTTTACATAGTAAAATCAGCTTTGGAAAATATGACCTCTATAATTCAATCAAAAATTAATTGATATTTACAATTAAATAGAACTAACCCATAACATTGATAAGTGTATTTGTCTTTAAACAAAGGAAATAGAAAATAGAATTCTTTGAAGGAGCATAACAGATTTTGGTGCAAAATTGGTTATTTGCTGATTGAATAGGATGGAAAATTCAATATGAATGATGTATTTTGCTGAATTTACCTCATTAATAAAATATATTGAAAAACTTGACTGTTAATTAAATTTAATGTAAAATAACTCACCAATTAAAGGTCGACGCATTTCAAACCAGATTAAGTTGACTGGCAAACTTCTTAAAAAGAAGACAGCTTCAGAGGTGGAGATCTTAGGTCCTTCTGGAAGAGACATGGATACTAGTGTGGTTGAGAAAATTTAAATAATGTAGTACGAGAACCTGAAATCACATATGCAATAATGTCAAAGCGAACTTAAAGTTGCCAAGAGCACGGAGAAGATAAAAAAAAAAAAGTCACTTGATCGCACTGCTGCCATTAAAAAGAGTTAGCAGTTATATAAGAAGAAAAAGAAATCCACAAAAATAAAAAAAAGTGTCAGTGCAGAAAGAGTTAAGAGCCAAACCCTAGAGTTCTCATCTCCAGAGTGTGTGCGTCGCAAAAAAGCAGCCACTTTTTTTAATGAAAAACCAAACACTCTTCAAGATCATCGTGATCAATTAGGACTCAGCTTCTTAAATAAAATTGGCACTAAGCGAATTGATTAAATTTTAGAGCGTATTTAAGTGATTCTATAGCCATAGGAAATAGGATGTCTTCAATAGAACATTCACATCATCCTCCTCTCACTCCTGAGAAACACCGCTTTCCTCATGAAATAAAGCATTACATCAAAGAGAAGAAGAAGTTCTACTCACAATTAGAATCCATAAAACAATAATCCATGTTAGAAAAGAAAAAACACATTGATGAGAATCTGCGTTCTTTGGCTGAAATTGCCAAAAGAAATTCTCTTTCTAATAGTAGATCACCTCCTAGAGATAGCACTAATAAAGTGAGTGCAAAACCACTTATGTTAAGTTATGTGGCTAATCGTAAAAGTACATCTCGCAAATCAGGAGTCCCCAAATCTTTAAAGGAACAATTTAAGTAATTGGAAGCTCGATACAAAACTTTAAAGAGTAATAGTGATGTCATATCATTGAGAGAATCAAGAAACTATGAACATGAAATGAAGGAGTAGGCAGCTAAATGTATTTAGAGATGGTTTAAAGGATTCAAAGCAAGAAAACTTTGGTAGAAGAAGAAGGAAAAAAAACTACTCAAAATTTAGTAATTCTAATTATTGAAAGATACTGAAATGGCAAGGTGGGATAATTTAAAATCATTCCTCTAAAATCTTCAAGTCAAACAAGAAATTGTTGTGATGGCAGATTTAATTGAATGCCTTATTAAATACGCAGATTTTAACAAAGAAAATGTACTTTAAAATAATGTTGAAAAACCTCAAATCAAATTGAAACCATAGAAGCTTATTATTGAAAAAACTGAGGTGTTCCCTCCATAAATTGGTCAGATCCTTTAACTCCGAGGAGAATTGATAAAGGAGAGAGAGAAAAAAGAGAAGCAAATCCTCAAAGATCTTCTGGTTCAAGAGAGGATTTCCCCTCGCTCTTTTGGATTGAAGGAACAAGAAATAGTAAAATGGGGGGAAAAAGAATTAGAAGCTCTAGAGAGCAGTAAATAAGCTATCAAAGATGGATGGTTTAAAGCCTATGAAACAATATAAAAGACTCAAAAGGACTTGAGATTCGTGTAGAAATTGGGAGATGACCATTTTAATAAGATGATGCCTGTGAGTGTTAGTCAAAGTAATCTACTAAAGAATTAACTCCATGATTTGAAAATTAATGTAATTATCACGAGTGATTCTTAGTTATTAAGGGCTAGCTATTCTGAAGAGTGTCTCATTGATCAAAAGAAGAAGCCACTTCAACATTCAGAGTAATTGGATATGTAGGAGCAGCAATTAGCATCATACAACTCGAATTAATCAAATAAGACACTGTCATCATATATTCAAGGTCTAGAAGTAATATATTACCTAAGTAAGGGATGTTCCATTAGATATGGAGGAATAGGGACTAGTTGAGAATCTGCAGTATGTGTAGACTCATGTTGGCTATGTTAAACAATATTTAGAAGACATCAAATTAATAGTTAAAAATCAATATCAGAATCAATTCTTACAAATCATAAACTTGAGTATTGGTCCATCTCCATTTGAAATCTTGAGATTCTTTAGATTGACAGAAGAAATGCTAGAGTAATCCTTGGATGGGGGATTTATTCACTAAGCTGTTCTAAGTTTGGAGATATTTTCAATGAAGGAGAAGGTGGGAGCAGAAGATGTCTGTGTCAATGAAATGGAAAGAATACACAACAAGGCAATTTTTGACGCCTTTAATGAGGCATTAGATTATCATCGACCTTTTGGTATTAAGGGAAGACCATTGCCTTGGAGGAAGAATGTGATATGTAGGTAGGTGAATTCGGTTGAAGAGACTCTTGAGAAATCTTCAATAAGAGTTGTGCTATGGGCTGAAACTTTGAGTGGTATACTATTACCATAAGGTAGTTAAATGGATAATGACATTTTACCTTAGGTCAGAGAGGAAAGATTAGATAAGATGTTAAAGTAGGAAGTAATTAAGTTATTAAATATATGTAGATATTCGAAACCGATGATAGATGGTAGGAATTTGATGAGGAGCATACTGAAGTAGCATTGGAGTTGAGTGAATTAATTTTCAATCATCTCATTACTGAAGTAATCACTGAATTAAGAATTTGATATTTTATTTTTATTTAAATTATATCTCATTGAAATTAAATTAAAGCATATATAAGAATTAATTAAACGTGATTCATCAATAAGGATAATTACTATTTTTATTATTCTCAGTAATCATAAATAATTTGGGTGTTACAAAAGTACCCTAACTGACAGGTAGTTTAAAGGTCTTCCTCAAAGTGTCCTACTTTAAAATAGCTCTTTATTGTGGTTTTAAGCTAGCTAATCTAATGTTTCTGATAGTATCATCAGCTAAAAGAGTCGTTGAATGTTCCTTCTTTAACATTCTTTTTATTCCTTGGGATTTTTCACTTTTTAGTCTAACAATTTCAGTTTTTTATTCTAAGATTTTAGATTCAGATCTATATTCTTAAGCTCTTAAAGTACATTCTGATTTTATTTCAGGTTTATCAATCCTTTTAAATGAAGGTTATTGTTATTACTGTTGTTATTGTTATTGTTGTTGTTATTGAATTTTTTTGATATCTAATTATATTTTATAGTCTTACTTGCTCCTGTAGATTCTTAATATAATAAACCTGCATGCTCGATAAACTTATCATAATCTTCATCATATTATTCTAAAGGATAGACTTTTTCAAAATTTCCAATATTCTAATTTTCATACTAATCCCTAATTTCTTAACATTGTTTTATCAGTTTTTACTTCTCCTCCAATGTCAACTTTATTGGTTTAGTTGTCAACATCCTTTACTGAAGCATTTACTTTTCTTAATTGATGCTTTCTTATTTAGCCTTCTGAGTGCAATTCATCAAAATTAAGGACTAAGAAATCAATTATCTTTTAATAGCAGCATCCAAAGGAGTATCAGTTGTAAAACTAGGAGAGTGATTCACCTCCAATAAATGTGGCTTTAGCTTGTGATCCAAGATTACATCCATACCTAAGACTTCAAAACACATATTATTCATATGATTATTTGGTTGGCAAGACTTATATTAATGAGCTAAAATAGGTTAGACAGCACAGAATGTTTTAATCATCATTTTTTTGATTGTATTCCATAACTAATCAACATTTTCGCCTCTACTTCTGAGCAATTCAAAAACACTAGTCATACTTCTCTTATGACCAACATCCATTTGTTTATCACTTTGATTAAATATAAAGTTTTCATTATCCTTATTCACCGCATAATTTGTCAGGTGCATACAAATATTATCCAAGTTGTCTTTGCCAGGCTTCTTGTATTACTCAGTAGCAAATCTAGCAAGACCCTCTTTAAAGATATAAATTCTTAATGGATCACAGCCAGCCAATAATACATAAATTCTAAGATCAAATTTCAAACCGTCAATCAAATAAGGTTTACTCAAATATCTCTAGGCTACATAATGTTCATGAATCGAAAGACCTTCAGCATCTTTCACCAACATTATCCCCTTACCTTGGCATGAAGCTTCTGGTTTGATGATAAAAGTTCTGTTTTTGCCAATATTTGCCCTAAAATCACTTAATTCTGCTGGCAATAACCAAGTGTAAGGGAAGTAATTGTATGCTTAAGGAAACTATTTATGCATCTTCATAAGGTTCCTTCCCAAATGGTTTTTACGAGCTAAGCTATACATTCCTGGGAAATGATTCACCTTTTGATGAGCTAAATTATTAGATTAATCAATTACAGCTCATTCTCCCTAGGAGATCAGAAAAGACAGCCCCATCAGTCCACCATACATCCCAATTAGTTGCATTCTCGTCCTTCTAAATTTTCCAATTTAACATCTTTTTACCAACATATCGAATCACCGGGTATTGGGAGCCTAAAATGAGATATGCAGATCATTTTTACTGGAAACATTAATAATTAATTATTCTTTGCTTTTTTTGACTTTGGTTTTGGGTTTGGTCACCTCCTTTGAAGTTTAACTATCATCTTATTACATAGTATATATAAATCAATAAATAAAATTCATAACAATTATTAATAAGTAGAAACCAAAAGCCTGTTTTTGAAACTCTGATATAT